CACACGTGAGTGTTGACAATATACCAAGGTTAGAAGAATACCAAACGTTAGGCTGGATGGGAGGGAAGGAATTCTCATCCTTGGTGGACAGTGGCATGACAAAGCAGAGTTGAATACTAGAGGACATGGATTCAAGGCAGATCTCCATTAGAATAATACCGGAAGGAAAATGAAGAAGTAGAAATGGAGCAAAAAATTTGAATTTAGGATAAAGTCAAGGCTGAAAAAAAGGAGGGGTGACTAGTTACTTAGTCTAAGAACACTGGATCAGAAATCCCAAAATTTCAGCCTAAGGTTTTGGTGATGTATAGAATCTGTGGCAGGTTTAACCCTGCAGGGACTTCCAGTGGCCACAGTTACAGCTTCAGAGACTGAACTTGACAGTGAAAATGCAGCGGAATATGGGAGCTGGTGTGAAAGTCAAGTTGGCCTGGGTGGGAAAAATTTTCAGTGCATGGAAACAATAAAGTCTCATGGGATTTTTGAAAGAGAGAGAGAGAGAGAGATGTGGGGTGGGTGGAGAGAGGAAGAGAGAGAAGGAGGAGGAAGAGAAGAAGGAGGAGGAGAAGGAGAGGAAGAACTGCAAAACCCAGAGAAATTTTTTTCTGTTTGTATTTCTTGATAATGGGAATAAGAACAACCACAAACAGAGAGAAAAGCTAATGGAAAGTAGAACCATTCATGAAATTGTGGGATCCCAAGGTGGAAGGAGAGAAGAGTAATGGAGTGCACAAAGAACATCTTGGAGGTTGGGTTGGTGTTGTGGCACAGCCGGTTAAGCTGCTGCCTGCAGCTCCAGCATCCAATATCAGAGGGCTGGATTGGTTTGAATCCCAGCTATTTTACTTTCCAAACAGCTCCCTGCTAATGCACCTGGGAAGGCAGCAGAGTATGGCTCAAGTCCTTGGGCCCCTGCCACCCACTTGGGAAACCCAGGTAGAGTTCAAGGTTCCTAGCTTCAGCCTAGTCCAGCCATTGCCCTTGTGACTGGGGAGTGAACCAGCAGATGGAAGATGTCTTTTTCTCTATGTCTCTCTATCTTTCTCTGTCACTCTGCCTTTCAAATAAATATTTTAGAAAAACAAAATGTCATTTTTTATTTTAAAAAGGGGAGATGTCTTGGCCAAGAACCCATCTGAAGTTGCAGCCTCTTCAAAGAGGGCCAGAGCAGTGAGAGCACTAGACCAGGAGTCCCAAGGCTTGTGTTGTGGTCCCAATTCTGCCCCTAGTACTCCATGCAAACCTAGGCAAAGGCTTCCCTCTGCATCTCCACTTGCTCAATAATAAAGGAGATGGTCTAAATCCTCCTATATTATACCTAACAACAGGTAGACTATAGATGCGTGGAAAGAGTAACAGAAGGAAGATCTGGGCAGCTTCAAAGTCCTCAGTGAATTAGGAAGAAGCATAATCCAGTGAATGTTGTGGGTGGGAGATCACATGAGGTACTAGAATAGCATGAGAATCAGCCAAGAGATTGCTCAAAATTAAAGGGGGCATAGAAAAGGCTTTACAAATAAAAGGAAAAGCAAGATGCAAAGTAAAATCTCTGGTATGATGGACAAATGCTGTTTTCTGGCATAGATGGAGTTGGGGAATGAGACACAATTTCATTGTATAATGTTTTATACTTTTATGTACACATTTATGAACTAATACTAAATCAAAATATGGAATAAAGATTAACTAGTAATAAAATAACAACTAGAGGTAATAGCAAGGAAGTGTTTGAGAGGATGGCTTGGTCCTGAGTCTTCCTTCTGAATAGAGGAAGTCAAGGTCCCTGTAGACTCAGAAGTCAAGGCTTCTAACTCTGCATGGGACCGGTTGTCTTCCACATCAATCTGTAGAAGCATTTCACAAATACACTCGCTGCTAATGATAGGATAAGCACAGGACTAAGCCTAGTGAAAAACACTGAATTCATGAGAAATTGCCAATGTATCATAATTTACAGAGCCCTTACTCAAGTGCCAGGCATTCCACATGATCTTAGTTAATCCCCAACAAAAGTCACTATAAAAGGGATTGTGATGTTGCACATTTTATAGATGAAGCAAATCATAGATAGGTAATGTTACTTGCTTGAGATCACTGAGCTAGGTAGTGGCAAAACCAAGGTGGGACTCCTAGTGTATGTGTGTAATTGTCATCTTTTAGATAAACTTCAAAGAAGAAGCAAGTGGTCAGAAAGTAGTTTTATCTTTTTATTCCAAAGAAAATGGCATGAATCATAGTTCTTTTTCTCTTAATATTTCACTGTGTGCAATTCTACAGCCCATTCTTCCCTATATTAGCTTGTAGTTTTAGGATGTTCTCCAGAAAAATGTATTTCACTGGGGATAGAGGAAAGGTGGAAGGTCACCAGGTGGAAAAATTAAAGTAAAATAACATCTTCAAAGTACTGAACAAAAGTTGTACAAATTCTCAGTTTTTTTAGCATAGCAAATATTGAAAAACTTAACAATAAAATCCTAAAAATGTAATTGTAGCTTGGTAGCACTATTAAGTATGTACACTGTGGTCTTTTTGACAATTGTATTAATCCCTTTATAAAGCCTTCAGAAGTTCCATCACAGAAGCATGGATGCTGTTTTGATCTATTTATTACTCTTAAGTGTTCAGAGAACTGTCCCTATTTTCTAATTAACACTTTAAAAGATAAAAAGCCATGTATTAAATCAATCTGAATGATGGTTGTTTGTGAATCCCACAAGATAAGGCAATTTGCATGTTCACTTTGTACTTACAAACTAAATCTGCACATCTCCAAAGCAGCCCCTTATAATGTAAACCTTTTGTGAGTATTTGTAACTTGAAAGAAAGTTTGGCCTACTACAGAAGCAGTGCCAATTATCTAAAGGGCTTCGTTACTGAATATGATTAAGATACAAAGATATTGGGTTGTTATTTATATTGTTTGCTGTGGAATCTGAGAAAACGACTTTTCAAACACATAGGATTATAGATTACTACCTTTTAGTACGGAACTAACACACTCATTTCCCCCAACAGTTAACTGGTTTCAGAAGTAGCCAGTTGCCACTCACGTGGGGTAAAGTTCCTTTGATATGAATGAAATTGCTTGCTGATGAAATGCACCTTTCAGCGACCTGTTTGAGTTTCAGCTGATTCTGGAGTACACTTCGTAATGTGAATTCCAGCATTAGTACTACATCTCAGTGGTGATTTATTATTGGATTTTTAGTACTGATGAGTCAGCGCTTTAAGATGTTTACCAAATTAGACTTTCAAGAACAATGGCACTTCTCTCATTAAATAGAGACTTTTGTTCCCATACAGGCTATTATTTCCACATGGTTGTGGTGTGGTGTGTTCACACTTGAGGCTCTCATCAGATAGGGTTTCTTTGCTTTTGCAGGATCTGTCTTCGTTGTACTTTACGTGCCCCATCAACTTTGAAGCCATGTGTAAAAGCCCCAGTCTTCAGAAGTCAAGAAAGGATCCTTTATCTTTCTAAACAGTTCAACCTGTGCTTTTCCTGTGCCAAATAAGAAACCAGAAATATCATGTTGGCTAGTGAAAATGATGTCAGATTTTTCTTTCTTTCTAAAGAAAATAGAAAGCAATGCAATTGATCTCTTGTGAATGATTCTAATCTGCAAAAAGCTACTGGGGCCTTGGGTGAGATGGTAGGAAAGTGAGGCTGACTTTTCCTGCAGAAAAGCATAGAGCTTTCTCTGTTGATCAATATAGTTTTGAGCTGCCCCTGTTCAACAGGCTCTGTTACACTGGTTTCAATGCTGTTGATACAGTTATAAACATTAAGTCCTTGTCTTCATGGAGCTTACTTTCTAAAAAAGATTAACACAATTCAAAACTCCATAAACATATAAAATAATGTCATCTCATAGTAGGTAAGTGCTTGATGTGTCTGCTAAAATCGCAGTAGTTTATACTCCAGCTAAAGCAAGCAAACTAAGGCCTGCTTACCTTCAGACCAATTTTGAGCTTATTTTAACAAGATTTTTTTTGTAAAGTATCTTTCATGCAGCAGCTGCTTCCTGGGAGCCCATGAACAGCTTTCAGTTATAAATTCAACCTCATCATCACAGCGCTCCCTGGAATTCTGTATGCTGAATCTAAATGGAAATATCAGAGAGCTGACTATTCCAGGCACCTTTAATGTGATCTAGCCCATGGAATGAGCAACTATACAATCTTTGGAGGCCTCATTGATCACTATTAATCAATGATTAGCAAAATCACACTTTACCTCTTTATTGTATATCAATTACAATGAGGTCACATATGAACAAATAAAACATATTGGCAACTTGAATCCTAAGGCAATGAATCACAACAATCAGCTTTTGTTCCCATTACAAAACACACAGCAAACAATGTTCACACATGGGACACAGTTTCATGGATATTTACACAACCCCCAGGACATTAGCCATACCTCCACCCCATTCTCATTCACTCAAGGATGCAGACAGGAGCATCAGGGAGTGAGAACGAAATTACTGTAGGAGTAACCTTGAATCCTCTGTTCTAATTTGTTTTTAAGTAAGTTAATTGAAAACAATTATTAATCACAAATTATTTGGGAAGTACTTTCCAAAGATCACAATAAATATACCCGCTATGACAGTGCCTTTGGAACTACTGACTCAAATAGGCTAAATTCTTCTAAAATTAGATAATCGTGTGCTCTGAATATCTAGAAATGTATTATGTAGTTAAATGCCAGCAACCAAAGTCATTCAATGCCATAATTTAAATACTTAATTTGCTTTATTACTATAGTTTTGTCCTCGGTTTCCTTTCTGTCTTCTGTATTAAAAATTTCATGGTCAAAGGGGAGAGCGAGCTGGCCAGCTCTCCCTAGAGCAGGTACTTCCTGTTCGCTGCAGCCTCTGTGTCTTTCAGATCTCCACTGACAAGGTGTTGATATGTGGAAGTAGTTCCCTCAGGTCGAATGTTCTTGCCGCCAGGCTTGAAGCAGTCACTTCAATGGAAAGCTCTGTGGTCCCTGCCAGCTTCTCTGGTCCACAGATGTCTCAGGATGCAGCCCCACCCTCCTTGGTCACAGCAGTGGGATTTGCAAATGAGCAGCACACCAGAGTTATACCCAACCTTAAGGTGGACTTCAACAGAAGGTAGGAAACTTGTTGGCTTCAGAAAAGTATTTTTTCTTGTTTGATAGCCTTCCAAAATATTTTTAAAGACTGTCTTCATTTTTTATTCAGGTGGGACATTTTGTTTCTTGTATGAATGAGTCTGTTGCTTAGGTAAATGTGATTTTACATACTGTATGTTTAATCATTAATCCTTTTGAAAATGCAAACTGAAAGCACACTTTCCTTCTCATTAAATTCTATTATACCAAAAGAAAGATCTTAGTATGACTGTAACAGGATCTAAACAGAGCTATAAACCAGAAGTGGAGGAATGCCTTATAAACAGTACAACATGAGAAGACTTGGGAAATCCTGCCTCTCTGTTCCAACTCGACAGGCAGTTGCTGTGTGAAGTAAGATCTATACATTAGGATAGTTGCTTAAACTCAGACAGCCTGGTGGTGCAACCTCATAGAAAAGTTATTATTACTTTAAAATGGAAAATCTGTTCAATAGAAAACTAAATCAGTAGAGATTTCTATTGAATAATGTAACCGTTCTTTGGTAGACAGCATCATGGAAGTTTTGTTTTCCTGTGTTTTGTAAAAATATCATTCCACAAACTGCTGAGTGTATTTGGTTGTATCTCAGAGCAGATTTGGGCAAGATTTGAAAGTAGGAGAGTAGACCATTCAATTGACTTATTTGGCTATTTATAGGGATACAAGAAAACAATGGCCATGGTCTGAGCTGTACAGACCAGGATGGCATCCAGAATAAGAAAGCAAAGCTAGATCATGGCTCATGTTGTTTTTGTGTCCTTTTGTTACATATGAAGGCGTGATGATATGTGGATATTTGCAAAAAAGCACAGTTTAAGGACATATTTTGAAATTCAACAAAAAGGGAAGTAGGAGAGAAAAATAGAGAGAAATAAAGCAAAACAGAAGAAGCAAACACCAAGCAAGGAGAAAAGAAAGGAAGGAGCAAGGAATGAGAGATGAAACAAAGGACAGAAGATTAAATGAAGGTTGGAATAAAATATGGAAGTTAAGTGTACTAACAGTACACTTACTTGAACATACTGGATTTTCAGAGTGGATCAGCAAAGAGTTAGAAAGCACAGGTGTTTCTGTAATTAAGATATATTGGGAAAATTCACACTGTTAAATGAACCTACAATTCTCACTTCTACCTTCATGATACAGAACCCCACTGTTAGTGAACTGGGCCATCACCCAGAAGATGCCCAAATCAGTGGAAAGGAGTGGGAGGCTCGTAAGATTCTTCTGTCCATGCTCCTCTAGTATCAAATCATAAAAATTGTACATTTCTATTTTATGTGTTATTAACAAGGCACATTTGTTGCATGTTTAGATTTAATAATTTCAAGAACATGCCACTATTTTATGACATTAGTCTTACAAAATATATAAAATATGACATAATAAATATTCAGTATTAATGGAAAAATATTTTCAAGGCTAAATATTCAAATCTAATTCATGATACTAGGGATTAGAAGTCGGCAAAATCCTGAGAAAATGAGGCAGAAAAGGAAATAATTTGTAGGAATGATAGGATGCTTCAGAAAACAAAAGACTACAAAAGTTGTTTGGTCCCCAACTGACAATGTAGATGTTAGCAAAGCTAACAAGCCTACTTTAGACTAACAATATTATACGTGCATTTGCTTTACAAAATTACTGTCTACAAAAGGGCATGCCATATCTGAATGCTGGAAAAGCGAATCATCCTATTAATTACAAACTTATTTGGGCTGAAACTCTTTGTTTCCACTGTAAATGTTTTTGCTCATGGAGACAATACTGGGGGAAAGTTTTCCATCTCCATAATGTTAGTTTATGCAGACCACATGATTAGAACTTAAGATTGCTAAGATCTTTGTCTAACATATTTACCGATTTCTATTTCTAAAAGTCAAAATTATTTATTCTTTGGTTCTTCATTCCTCAATTTCTAAATGGAGGATCTATAGAGAATATATGTATGTGGATTTGCTTGTCTGCACTCCATTATGGAACAATTCTTGCCCACATTTAAAAGATTTATTTAAAGAGAATTTAAATATAAACAGACTCATATGCATGTGCAAACATAATGGAAGAAAGGAAAAGGGAGGAAATGTTATGGAATTTCCTTTCTAAGTTTTTCTACAAAACATCACTTCTCCCTTGTATAGTTTTGGGGATGTTCTTTCTCAAACAGATACTCTTTCTCTTTTCTTATCAGTGTAGGGCTCTGGAGGCAAATAATGCTGTACTGGGAATATATGGCAATCTTTTTCTTGGTGTTTATTACTGCTTAACCACAAAGTTACTATCGTAGCAGCATGTTGGCTGCTCACACTATCCAAAAGAGTTAAAACTATCTTCCCAAAGGAATCATAAATTCAGGTCAGAGGTGGATGGTGTTGCACAGAGAGCTCCTGGTCTAGACTTTCAGGGTGAGAGGGAGGGCAGAAGGGAAGTGATGTTTTCCTTCTTCCAACCTGGGTTGTTCATCTATCTTTGCACAATTTATCCACTTCTAAAATCTAAATGCATTTGTGAACCCTCAGTGGGTGAAGTAATGACATTACACTTTTGTAGTTTGTTATTGTTATGCATATATCCCAGCTTTGCCAAAAATGCCCCATTAGTCTTCTTCATTAAATAACAACAAACTGTTAGGGTTAGTTCTGCATCAGCACGTCAATTTCCTCATGAAAAATCGGTCCTCTTTCTTGTGGTTTGCCGGCACCCAGGCCAATATCACTCACGCCTTCATGTGTAACAAAAGGACACAAAAGCAACATGAGCCATGATCTAGCTTTGCTTTCTTATTCTGGATGCCATCCTGGTCTGTACAGCTCAGACCATGGCCATTGTTTTCTTGTATCCCTATAAATAGCCAAATAAGTCAATTGAATGGTCCACTCTCCTACTTTCAAATCTTGCCCAAATCTGCTCTGAGATACAGCCAAATGCACTCAGCAGTTTGTGGAATGATATGTGCCCTTGTAAAAAAAAGTTTTCCTGTCCCATTGAGTCTCATTGTTTTTTAAGACTATACACAGATCTCATCGACATATGTCAATGAGACATAGTGTCTTCCTGTGTATTTCAAACATTGCTGGATTTGCAGTTTCTCCTTTGAAGGGCATCGTTATCCTGGCATTCCAGGTACTTCCCTGTGGAGAGGTACAGAAGTCTGACTAGATTCTGCGCCGTGTCCTAATCCTGCATACGAGTCTCATAGCTTTTGAACAGGTGCTAGAACCAAAGACCGAAACCATCTATACTTTTAGCAGCCTTTTGCAGGAGACACTTAGAGGATTTTAGGCAGGTCTACTGGAAGAATTTTGAGATTTACTGAATTGATAAATGTCAAATAAGTGGAAAAAGTAACTGAGTTGTTGATGAATGTTTTATTGATCTGTCATCAATAGAGCTGCAGATCAGATGGCGATGGGATCATTTTTAGTGCAGTTCTTCCCTCCCTCTGTTCAAATGCACCAAATGAAGAGCCCATTTGCTGACTAGAAATTCACAGTTGAGGTCGACTGATGATGCAGTGCAAAGACGCCTGTTCTGTTCCTCTGCTCACCAATAAGCCATGCCAACCCTCACCTTTAAATAGCTACACATTTAATTATGTGATATTTAGAAATAAAGTTCAGTCACAGTTCACTAGAAACTTGGACCCACCTAAGACGGGGAGTATGAGAAAGGGAGATTTATAAATCAGCAGCTCAAAGAAAGAAAAAGACAGCTCAGTGCCAAGTTGCAATATAAAATAAAGCATTTATTTAAGGAAAACCTATAATAAATTAATCTAGACTATTACAAAAATACACTAAATTTTTTAAAAGGGTGATACTATTTTTCTATTTCACCATAAAACCTTAGGAAGTTATGGATTAACTTAAGCAAACAGAACAAAAACTGAATCCAAAGAAGGTACAGTAGCTACTTTCTTGAAAACAAAACCATCTTTTCGTTCCTGCCATTTGTCTGGATTCTTCCTCCGGGCAAGCCGGACAGCTGCACTGGTAGGTTTTTTAGTCATGGGTTGTAAGCCCCACCTGGCTAGATTTGTTTAGCAGACAGCTGGCAGAATTAAATAAAAAGAATGGGACACAAAATGCTTCCAAAAAAAAAAAAAAAAAAGCTGAGAGAATACTTTTTGGATGTTTTAGCTTTTTGGAGGTTTATATTTTTTTCTCTACTTTTCCTTGCCTATATTCACACACTACTATCTGTGACTATATCTCATCAATATGTTCTCTCAATTATAATGCCACAGCTGAGGTAAAAATGTAGTACAAATACAAACATCAAGTAAGCATGCATTGAGGGAGCTTTTTTTTTGTTAGAAATACCAATTTGCAGTTTATAAGTCCCCAAGAATGACATCAGTTTTAAATTACCGTTTTTTTTTTAAATTTGTGCATTTTCTTTGCTATTTTTTAAAGCCAATAAAATAGATTTTCTTCATCTGGAATGTTCTTTCTAGCTTAAAGATAAGAAGGAGTCTAAATTGTGGGAATGGCATCCTTCTGCATCTGTTTCTCTCACAAACCTATCAAATATCTAATTTTTGGCATGACTGCTGACTCCGACAGGGGGATGACATAAACCAGCTTTGTGGTTACATGTTTCACTTTTAATCTCATGGAAATAAAAATCAGCACTGAAATGTCCCTTTACATGTGACAATTTAGGACTCTCTTCCAAAAGCCCAGGGAGAGGGGCATTAACCTGGTTAACTTAATGCACAGCATATGCTGAAGTATTGTGCATTTTGTACGCTAAAGCACAAGACTAACCTGCCTTCCATGGAGCTTTCCCACCTTGAAGTGTAAACATCAAACAATGGCAACTGTGTAACTCAGTGGCAGCAAGACATGCAAGAAGGATTGGACATGTATGCAACAATGGAGAGATCAAGTAGTTCACTTGATAAGTACACATGTTCGGTGTATTTTATCTCAATCCTTAAATTCAACAGGACTAGAGGGATATTTCTACCATTATGGCTCAGTAGTTAGCATGGGAACAATCCAGGCTTTTCAATAAATATAGCAAATATAATATGGAAGGTTCAAAATTATCAAAATGGTTTGGATGTGATCTTGATTGGTGGGAATCCATGAAAATAGCTTCCAACTGCTTAAAAATGAGCAAAGGGGTGGGGCCTGCTTATCTTAAAGACAGCCTAGGTGAGAAACATTAAGACTGACAGCCCAGCTAGCACCTAAGAGATGACAATGAACCACTACAGCAATTATAAAACTACTTAGAAGATCAAATCTATTTATATTGTCTATGGCAGCGTACCAAATATTAAGGACCAGTCCAGGAAATAAATTCTTTAGTTCCTTACCTAATACTTGCTTTCCAGAGCAAAAGCCTGACTTGGCCCCTCTCCACTCAGCCTATACATCTCTCTATGCAATGTAGACTTTATGGAGCCAGGCATGGTCTGTTTGTTGCAGAGACCCGATTTCCTCTAAGCACTGATATCAATACCATACATTTCAAATACAAGGGAGGCCTAGGCAAGCTTAATCCCCTGAGCCCAAGTAAACTGAGCATGGTCTCTAGGGAGGCTGTTGGCATAGAGCAAAAAGACAGTGTTACTGTATATGCTTTCACATGGTTAGCAGAATGGGTCCCCATCAAAGACAGAGAAAACAGGCATGGTAGAAGGGAGGAGTGAGGTCACTCTAGGTTTCTGTCTGACCCTTCATGACAATCCCATCTTGGCTGTTATCTGACAGTGTTCTATTTAGTTTGATAGATACAATTACATCTCTCTAGCCAGATAATTACAGTAGTGTGCATCTTCCATGTATTGGTGGCTTAGCAGAATTAAAAGCTATAAAATCCTTTTGTGTGTGCCACAGGGCTTTCCTTTTCTTCCCTAATACAGATTTCCTCTCCCCCTCTCCCCTTGCCTCAAGAAAAGAAAAGAATTTCCCTATCAATTGTCCATTCTGATTCTGGATTATTTTGTAAATGTTTCATATGATTCTATCATCTGTCCCAGATCAACCTGCATCTCAGCCAAGTTCTTTACTAAAGAAAATTGATTCTTGTTTACTTCTTTCAGTTAGGAGAATCATGATGAATTTTAATAGGATAACCCCCTACTGTTAGAAAATCTCCCTCTTTTGGCTATGGAGCTTAGAAATTCATCAATCAGAAGTAAGCCTGGATTTAAAAAAATATATATTTTAGGCAAAAAGAAAGGATTCTACAAGTTTCAAGCCCATCCTTAACAATCATTCAACAGCCATATTTCTCCTGTTTTCATCACTTCCTTGAGCAGTAAATTATTCTGATACTTTGTTAAAACACCTTTTAATTGTAAATTGACTTTAAAATTTTAACAGGGTAACCCATGACCAAGGAGTATTTTATCTCTAGATGAAAATTAATATCATTACTTTCTACATTAGCAAACATTTAAATGGGGATGGTGTAGACCACTTAGCAAAGTAAGCATTTCTGGGAGGGAAAACTAGTTTTCTAAATGTTAATTCTATTCATTGAAATCCATGAGGGAAAGAGTTTATTTTGGAGAGAGGTAAATATATTGCTATGGGAATACTGCAGTATGGGTCTCACAGGTATCATTCAAGGTATCATAATAATAGCAATAGAAAATGTGCTATGTCATTTGTTGAGTCAAAAGAAACTACATATACATGGAAATACTAATTATTTTTAATTTCTAGAGTTTATACCATAACAGATCATTACTAACTTCTTACACTGCCTACAGTTTCAAGTCACTAATTTCACTAATCCATTAAATGTATGTTTTCTACACTTAAGGTACCAAAGAAACCTGCAGACTTTGTATATTTACCCAGGGATCACTTTTCTGGTGGTGAGATGTAACCAGCTCTTTTGTGGAATGGAGTAATCACTGCCTGCCAGTAACACAACGCTACGATGTGGAGAGAAGGAAATGAAGGCTAGCTCATCCAAAGGAAACTACAGGGGGAGTTTAGATCGGCAGAATGCAATTACCCAAGTTGGAATTCTTCCAAGACACCAAGGTAAACTCTAAAAGTGTGCAAATAGAATAGCATTTCTCCACAATTGCAGGACAACCAGCCACATCTGTGACAAGATGGGTGCTTGCTCTATTTATTTATCTTTACTTTGTGAATACTACTGTCCAAGTGCTGGCTACTGTCATAGGAAATGGATAGTGTACACCATTGGATCAGAATCAGAGGGACCAGATCTATTAACGGGCACCTCAGCTATCCAAAAAGCAAAAGAAGACATTTTTAGAATCTGTTCCAAGATGCAATGAATTTGTTGACTGGGTACTTAGGGATACTCTGTTTTCCAGCCCCTCCTGCATCTATGTGTGACCACATGAATGAGTTCTGGCCGATGGAGTGTGGATGGAAATCTAGACTTCTAGTCTGACCATAAAATACATTTTTTCATTTGTTCTCCTCTTCCTCTCCCCTCCCTCCTTCTCTCTCTCTCTCTCTCTCTCACACACACACACACACACACACACGTATTCATCTGAAAATGAAGAATTCAAAGATCGTGGATTAAGGAGTTCAACCCCACAAGTCCCTGTTTAGAGGACAGCTGTACAGAAAAGACACCGAATCATGAGCAAGAAAGCAAAACTGTGTCAAAATGGGAGAGCTTTTGTTACATCAGCTAGAGGTACCTTGACATATATATGTCTATTATAGAAAGGGAATTCCTTCAAATTCCAGAGTTAAGAAAATCGAAAAGTCAGTCAACAAAGCTGGAGACATAATGAACAACAATGAAGTCCTTGCTCTTACGATGTGTATGTTTTCAGTGGATATGACAAATAATGTGCAATAAGCATAAATCAACAAGTAGAACAACTGATACTAGTTACAAGCTTGGAAAGTGCTCTATTGAGAATTGTTAAGCAAAGAATTTAGCACAAGTAAGCATTTGGTACAGCATTAAGTTACTGCCTGGGGTACACACATCCTGTATCAGAGTACCTGGTGCTGGTGCTTTGCTTCGGATCTTAACTTTCATGTGAATGGACACCCTGGGAAACAGCAGGTGTTGAGTCCCTGCCACCCACATGAGAGGCTGGATTGAGTTCCTGACTCCTATCATTGGCCTGACCCAGTCCTGGCTATTGTGGGCATTTTGAGGGCAAATCAATAGATGAAAGATCTCTGTTTCTATCTCTGTAGGTCTCTGTATGCATCCCTGCCTTGCATATATATCTACACACACACATACACAAACTTTAAAATAATCTTTAAAAGAATACAATATGCAGTAACTATATATACACTACACACATGGGCACACAAACATAAGCATAAAATGGTTCTTTAAAAAGTTCATGGAAATGAAATTTAAAAGTAAGTTTATATTGGTGCAAAAAGTTTTGGAAACCCTTATATAATTTTGCATAATACGCACATTCCATGAACATTTTTGAAAACCTGTGATATGCATGGATTTCAATTTTTTTTCCCAACAAGGTGAACATGTCTTTTAATTCCATTTTCCACAAACTTTTTGAATTCCTTTCAAACAATACTCCTCATAGAGAGTTAAAAAGTTAGAAAAACAGGAAAATTCTAACATATGCATATGCAATTTTTCTAATCATGAGCAACTCAAAGTCCATGAAACATATAAATTAGTTGCATTGCTGATGTATGAATTTGAAATATTAAGTGTATAGCACTGATGTGGAGGGATCAATTTACACAGAGCACAAATGTAATTGGGCAGCCAACCAGCAGCCACTTCTCAAAACGATTTTATTGTTACAAATCAAGTAACACTCTGCAAAGTGATTTAAATTATTTAAAAGAAAACACCATTTCTTTTTCAAAAATTCTTAAAAAGAAAATAAGAAAGTAATGGATTTGGATAGAAACCAACTGCTAGTGCTGATAATGGCAAGAATGTAACAATTGCAGAACAGTGATGCAGGTAGGAGTGGTTATGGAAGCTGGCAGCTGGGCGAATGAGCTCATTTCTCTATGCAAGAGGTAACAAAATGTAACTTACCCAACTTCCTCAGTCTGTATTTTTTCAAAAATAAACTTTTTATTACATTTTTCCATAACCTTAAAAAACTTCTCTTGTTTTCACTTTGTTTGAAAGGCAGTACGACAGAGAGAGACATCCCATCTACTGATTCATTCTCCAAATGGCTGCAGCAGCCAGGGTTGAGCCTAGCCACAGCCAGGAGCCCTGAAATCCATCTGGATCTTTCAAGTTGATGGCAGGGACCAAGTACATGAGCCATCACCTCCTGCTTCACAGGGTGCACATTAACAGGAAGCTGGTTGGGAAGCAGAAGAGCCAGAATTCAAATGAGGCACTCTGAAGAGAATGGGGATATCCTGTGATATCTTAACTGTGCACTGAAATGGATGCCAGTACACTGAAATGTGCCACTATAATTTACTTTCTTTTTAGGTGTAACTTATATGCTATGTGGAGATGGATGAATATGTCTATTTTTCATGTGCTCCATAGGTCCACTCACAAGCATCCAGTACCTATCACATGCCATAGTACTAACCCGGTGAATATTTCTTGCTGGGAAATTTAGGATTATTTTCATCCTAGTCTTAATACATTCTACTTTATTTTAAAAAATTTAAAATAGATTGTGGGTTGCTTTAAAAAATTAAGTGAAAACCAAAATATACACACACACATATACATACATATTTTCAAAAGTGTACTACTATCTCCTTGCTCACTAGGATGTCAATAAGAGCATTTTAACCATGACTGGAATGCTTGCTTCCGGTATCATCCCACAATGCACTGACACAGATGACAGAACCATCAACAGTGGCGCAAGTTCCTATTGGTCCCATTGGGTCATCACTGGGCAGGAGTGTTCATGTGATGGTTTTGAGCTCCATTATGTCCCCTGTGAAGACACACAAATCATAATGACGCTTGTCCCACTGAAAGGGTAACTTCCTCCACAATATCCATTTGCATTCATTAATTTATCATTTCTGATTGCAAGCCTACATGTCATGTGAAGTTTATAAGTAGTGATTTGGAAGCAGGCTAGTTCCAAAATTTGGAAAAGCATTTGCTCTTCACTGAACTCAACAAAAACTCTTTGGGCATTATGCACACATGCAGAAGGGACTACAGTCCTGGAAGTACCCCACCAGAACCAATTCTATCAGTTGGCAACAGAGGAGAGCTCTGAATCAAAGGGTTGGAAGAAATTTAAATAAGACATCTAGTCCATCACCCTGCCTCAAGGCGATTTTCCAGGCAGATGGGTATTTATCCTGTTCTTAAAGCTATCCACTGATCTGAGGGAAAAGGACAAGGGTATTTATATCCATGATGTTTTCTAACCAAATGTGTAATATTTGCCACCTACACCATCTGCATCAGTTCAAAATGTAGTAAGATTGAAAGTTGAACTCAATGATCTCAGGAAGGATAATGAAATAAAAATATTTTTCATTATATACTATAATTTTCCCCAAAGCTTCTGATGAAGAATTCATAAAATGGCATCAGTAGTTTAGGGCAAAGAATGAAGCATTTGCTTGGCAATTGGCAATCAGTGCAATTTCCAGAACTCAGATGGGGATGACTCAGGTTTTCATCACTGCTCTCAGTACAGTTCTGTGCAAGTTAAGATCAAGGTCATGGGCTTACTTCCTGAGCAGGTCATTAGCAGGGCTTTTGTTCCGTGGCTTTTAACTACAGATCACTTGTCTCACAAATTTATATCCTCTATTACAAATAACTTGAGAATATATATAAATCATAAAAAAAATCCATGGTTTTGAGAAGAACCTTTTTGTCCCTTCAGAGAACCATCATTTTTGTACATAAAACAAATACAATTCTTTGTTTACTATTTGGATACAGAAATAAAATTTGGGGTGCACCATCATGGCAAAGTGGGTTAAGCTGTCACGTGTAAAACCAGCACCCCAAGTAAGAATGTCAGCTTCAGTCCTAGTTGCTCTGATTCCAATCCAGTCTCCTGCTAACATGCCTGGGAAGGCAACAGAGGATGGCCCCTGCCACCCACATGGAAGAAAAGGATGCAGCTTTTGGCTCCTGGCTTTAGCCTGGCCCAGACCTGGCTGTGTGTCCTGCCACTTGACACCAGTGTAAACAAGTACAAATTTACTCACACATGATATAAAATATTTTTCAGATAATCAAAGTTTAGAAGTCCAAGCTGTGTAGCAAATTAGAAGAATGAACTGAGAGCATAGAGAAAGCTAAGATGAACAAGTAGAGCTTGGAATATGCTATACTCAGTCCAATCAAATAGTGACTTCATGGCCAGAGCAAGCAAGCATAAATATCTAATAATTATGCTCGAAGAGTGAGAATCATGGCAGCACATTTTTAGAGAAAGCACTTCTCAATGTCTAGCAGTGCCTGAGTTTTCAATCGGAGAGGCTGATGGGAAAATAAATGAACTAGATCTGGTCCTAGTGCACTGGCTGGCAGAACTTAAGGGAAGTGGAAGGAGCATGACTCTGTTGACCAGGGTTGAAGGCAAGCTGGCCTCAAGTCCCAGAGAGCATTGATAAATGGAAGCGGGGCCAAGGAGCCAAAACGGATCAGACAGATGCGAAAATGAGCCACACTTGGAGGGACATAGGTAGAGAGGCTGTAGCCTTCCTGATGTCTGTGAACTGTAAGAAAACACCACGTGCTGAATCTCTGCCATACACATTCTATGCTAGGCAGTGTCACCAACACACCACAGCCCTTTATTATACCTCTCAGAGTTTGCACTGATGCAGGCAGTTGAGAGGGGAGATAAGCTGGTGCAACATTTCCCCCAAATTACTTCTGGACAAAAAGTTCTATGGATGAATATACAGTTTGGAAAATGTTGTATGCTATTCTCACTCCCCCTTCCATGTATTGCAGTCTTAGAAAATCACAGAGTATACTTAAAGTTCTGAAATGTCCTGTATTAAAGAAACCAGTTTCCTTCATTAACTCTAAATTTTCAATTAAACCACCTCTCTACCATCCCAATAAATAAACACATTTACTC